CAATCTCTAACATTCTGTGATTCTGTTTAGGATTCAGTTAGCTGAACCGGAACCACTAAGGACAGATCTCTTCTCTGAGAACAGGGTTGACTGATGTGGAATTTGTTCCTGACTTTACCATTATCCTGAGCTCCTGGGAACTCCTGGTTGTCCCTATCAAGAAGACTTTGGACTTCCTAGGATTATTACTATGCCTGACAACTCAGCACCATCTGGTTACTTGCCAGTACCCTCTACAGTGTTCTATTTTGGTCACTGGGAAAGGTCTCAATAACTTCCCAGCCCAGTGCATGCTCTCACAGGTCTTATAGACTGACAAATTGCTTGTGTTGGCACCAAAAGGTGAACAAGATGGGAAACATGACTCCAGCACAGGTGGAATCCAACCCTGCTCCAAGCATTTGCTTTTACCCATTGTACTTTTCAATGCCCACCAGGGAAAACTCATCACCATTCTGACATGTTACACTCCTCTTCACTTTAATTGGGATCAAAGCCTTGCAGCTGTTCCACAGGAACATCACATGCCCCTTAAAAATCATGAGCTTTTCTTTTTTCCTTTCTTGCAAAGTAACCAGACGCACTCAAGTGCTCTCAAACATCCCCAAACTAACACGTGACATGTTTTCAATCCCAAAGGCCTGCTCACCAAGGTTGTACCACACATCCATTTCTCCGCTCAGAGTGCGGACTTCAATGATTGTCTGCCCCAGGAAATCATCTGACTCGCGTTTCAGTCTCTGCTTGACACGAGACTTAATGTCGTCATCTTCATCCCATACTCGCACCTTGATCCGATCAGAGGAATTATGGCACTCACTGCAAACAAGACAAATGTAATGCTGAAGAGCACATAATGAAGTCAACATCTATATGCTGCATGCTTCACTTTCCTCTTGACCCATTTGTCCAACAGAAGTGGCATGCATGAACAAAATGTAAACAAACGCCTATTTATTTAAAAGTAGAGCATCTGATAGGAACTACACAACAATTTTTTTGTGTACTCTAAATGCTCCTGTGACATGGTAGATACCGCACTTCAGATGCTTGCTGAAGTGCAGGTGCCCTGCCCTGACTGCAACCACCAACTTCAAATTTGCTAAGTGGCTGTGACAATCCTGCTCGTCCTCACTCTCAGCAGCAGCTCCCTGAACTTGGGAATTCTCTTCACAGCTAGGCTGGTAAACTCACCATACACATTCCAAAATGCTGATGAGCACCTCACTGGTTTCTGATAGCTCTCCCCATCAATGGCCTTCTGTGCAACTGTAGGCATTAAAGGCTACTTGTGTTTATGCACGTGCAGTAGCTAGGATAGCACGGTGAAGGCCTATGACAAACACCCTTCCTGCTGTTTTCTAATAAATAGCTCAGGTGCAGGTAGCTCTCTTACTTCAAGATAGTCACAAAGCAGTAGTGAATTAATGTACAATACATTACAATCAGATGATATAAGCACTGCCTGTGCACGGGAAGAAAGGGTGGGATACAGTAGTTACGAAGTTGGTGTTTAATTACTAGAATTGATTCTGTCTATTATTCACAGTTCAGACTGATAGTTGTGCTCTGGGCAGACCAGTAAAGACATTTTCATTTAAAAAAGCAGTTTACTATTTGCTGAATTGGCACCCTCCAGCTTAATGCACAGGCAGAATTTGCGGGCTCCCCCTCCTTTTAGGTGTTCAGATCTTTTGTAGATCCAGACAGGCTCCTGGATGTCAGAAGTGGGTAGAAGAACCTTATTATAAGAGCTCTGCTCATTTGCAGTGTGTGCAATACTATAAAGCAATTTGAATGCTCATATGAGACCCTGACAAGGGTGATTACTCACCATAACCACTACAAATGTCTGCCCTCAAGGAAACAAAACCTATGAAAACAGGCAACTTCTGCTGAAGGCCTGTTTTCCAGCCTTTTTAACATTAACATACTGCATCTGTTGCTAAGCAACAGGGAGAAGGAAGAAATGGGTCAGAAGAGATCTGCTAAGCTGGGTCAATAAGATGTGGCAGTGACTGGTATTTGCATGCTCTCTACCAAGAAATCATTTAGGCTCCTATTGGCACCATTGTGATTCAGGACTGCTTAACAGCTGTCCATGCAGTTCCAATTGATTTCTCCAATACAATGGAATAGCTGGGAAATATAAGGAGAAATTTAGAGGCAATTCCATACAGTTCTGATCACAGGGAGAAAGTATCACTGTTCCCAGACTTTGCTGTGCAATACAAGCTGTATTTAAAGTTCAGAAGAAAGAAGGTTCAATGTTTCTCTCTGCTTTTATTCTCCCCTTTCTCCTCCTCTGCCTCAATGATATCTTCCTTTAACAAAACCAGGCAGCAAGTGTTCAAAAGTAGGGAACTCTTGGACTGCTGCTCTTTGTAGCTCTCAAATTTATCCAAGTGAATTGCCATATCTACCAGCAATACAGAATAAACATGTAAAACAAATCCTCTGTTCCTGACACGCTGCACTAATGTACATCCTGGCAGTACCATAGAGGCTCAGTGTTCAGAGCTGCCTGGGTGCCTAAAAACAAAGACTGGCACACAGTGCCATTTAAAAAGCAATAGCAAGTTATTTCTTGACTTCTTCAGATCTCACCTTCTGGCACACCAGTTCTTTGTTAGGACTCCTTTGATCTTGTTTCTTTGCTATCAATGGTCAGAAATTTGCTCTTTCCTTTAGGAACACATTCACTGTTTAGACTTAAATCTACTGTAGGCAGTCCCACACGCATCATCCCATGCTCTTGCAGTGTCTGGCTGTCATCTTTCACTCAGCTACAGCAACATAACTCACTGCTAAGTGCTACAGAAAACTTTCCACTAGCATTTACTGTGCTACTGAAGCTTCTATTTCATGCCACCTTTCTCTGTTGTTTTTAAGAGACTGCTCAATTCATATTCCTTATGCTGCTCCCATACCAGAGAGCGAGCCTTATCACTCACAGCAGCTGAAAGCCTTGGGCTGGTGGCTTACATCACTATCTAAGTCTGTAGGAACCACAGTCCTCACTTTTGGTGAAGCAAGACAGTTGTGCCAACACCAATTCACCTTCCAGAGAACACCTCAAAACAGAGCCATGAATACTGGGGGACTTGCGCCTGTTGACTGATAACAGGCTTTCTAACCAATGACAAATCGCTTCCCATCTGACAGCATCGCAACTCCTTAAGACTGTGGCTAACAAGCTCTGCTGCTAGAAACTTTCCCCTTCATTAATACAGGAGCTGGCACATTTCTAAAGATGCCTGCCCCACTTCTTGCCATGTTTTTGTGAAGCTTGATTTCACTGTATGCACACATACATCTGTCTAGTCTCCCATAGCTGAGCTCCCACAGCTTTCCCAAGAGGACGCAGAGAAGAAACACTCTGTGACCCCACTGGAAGGAAGAAAATACTGAATGCTTTCAGGCCCATTTCAGAGCACGAGAGACTGGAAACCATGTTCTCTTTTGTATATGGCTCAGAAATTCTTTTATATCTATATTGTCCTGATGTTTGCAGCGGTGCCATTTTTATAAAGAGCTTACTTTTACACTTCAAGCTACCAAATAAAGTAACACTTTCAAGAAACTGCACAGCAAATCTGTAAGAGAAACTAAAATCAAATAAATAATTTTTTCCATTAAGTTTATCTGATGGAAGCCAGTGGTTGCAGGAGCAGTGGAGGCATCTGAGCATGGTTCTGCTGAGTTGGTCTCTATCCCACTCTGTCCCTCCACCTCTTCTGCCATGTTTGGCCTTAACCAACCCCTAACTACCCATTGTCCACAAATGTCCCCTGCACTGTCAATACTCTGGCCTCTTCCCATACCCAGCTAGCAACTGGGCTGAGGGGAAGCACGTGAAAAGCTGTAGTTAATTCTGGTCTGCACACACAGTGGCATGCCCACACACATGCTAATTGGTATATTGGTGGCTAAACAGAACAGGCAGCTGCTGAATTTACACTATAGAGCCTCCCACAAAGTTAGCAATTTGTATCTTTCTAATCTGGCTCCAACTTCTGCAAAAACATTGTAGAAAGTAATTCTTAGTCCCAAGACCCCTGCCCATCTGTAAAGGTTAACCCAAATCAGATTAAATCAGGGGTTTGGGATGGGCTACTGCATGTGCCTTGTCTCCTCAAGAAAGACAGACAGAGAACTGTCTAAAAATGACCTGAACACCATTTTTGAAGCAATGATTCATACTTTGAAGAAAAAAAAATAATGACATTTGTCCTGAATTTGCTAATAATTTGCTGTATGTGCTAACAACATTTGCAGGACTGTTACTTAACCTCCACAGGAACATTAAAGCCAAAGTCACAAGCCTTGTTAAGTTGTGGCAACACTGACAGTTTGTAAAAGTTATGCCATAAGAGATACAAAGGTATACCTATAAAACCACGTGTCCAGAAGTTCACAAAATTATCTTCACCCACAGTACAGATCATAAATTTAAATCATGGAGAGTGCCAAATTGAAAACCTATAACCTTCTCACGCCGTTAGTTCACGTTGGCGAACGTACCCTCATGAAGACAATGAGCCTGGTAAAAAACTATAAGGGTGAAGGTCCATTTGTGTCACATCTGCGAGGACATTTCTTCCCAATCAATTTCTCATCTCAAGACAGGTGTTATCAACACATTAACCCTGCTGGGCACACCAAACCCTCAGTTTCATTCCACTAACGCTGCAGTGAGACCTAGACTGTGCATCTCTGAAATGCAGTGTGCAGATTAGAGAGGTGGGATGCCAACATGACATTATCACTGCGCATGCCCAGTTCACGTCAATATCTCTCCTTAAACGATGTTGTTTTCTCCTGTTCTCTGCCTGAAGAACAGGAGACTCCAGAAGCCCCAGATCCAGCCAGGACTCCACTATGGTTGCCAGCTTCCAGAGATGAAGACAGCGCCTACCTTGTAGAGCTGATAGGCTAATAAAGACAAAAAGCAACAACTAGGCGTTGTAAGTACAAACAATGGAAGTGAGGGATCAGAAGCAGCAACAATATTTTGCAGATTTGAAAGTAGGTCAGTCAAGCCCAGAATTAAGTAGCTTTGTTGTGTATTGATATTAAAAAATATGTATGGTTCCGAGAGTCTAGTGAATATCTATATGGCCATATTCTGTGAGCAGTTTCCCTTCTGCAGTATGGCAGATGCAGCTCTCAAGAAGGGCCTGTAAAATTTCCAGTCCCGTGCAGGGTACATCTCATGCAATGGTAGAGACAGAAAAAACATGCAGAGCTGCTTGAAAAAATAATGTATGAGAGTGCAGGAGATGGGAAAATGCACAGGACAGAACAGATCAGGAAGACTTTTAGGACCTATGACCATTTTAGGAGGAAACTTTTGCTTCTGAGGAGCAAAGCTTCAAAAAAACCAAAGCAATTTTCTGAAAAGCAGAAAGGAAGGAACAGTTCCAGTAACAACTAGGCTGAGAAAGCCCAGTAAAGAGTTAAAACAACATACGCGGAGGAAGCATAAAAAAAAGTTGTCCATGAGAAATGGTCTGACTGAAAAAGCAGAAAGATTTGGATGTGGTTCAAATGAAATGTCTTGACATGCCAGGGTTCAACTGGCAGCTCTGTTGTGGCCAACCTCAATAGGACTGGAAGGCAGAAAACTTCTCAGGACAGGTGAATTTTTAAATAATGCCAGGTCCCCTCTGTTAGGGAGAAAAAAGGACAGTGGAGAAGACACTGAAGGCAAAATCAGAGTGGTAAGAGAACAAAGCTAAAATCCGTAGCAGCTTAGAAGGTAAGCACAACACAATATGCCCTGAGATCCAGCTGTTGCTGTCTAAGAACAAAGAAATGAGTTTTCTGTTCTTACTAGCATGAAGCTCTTTTCTTAGGGGAACAAGTACAATTATTTTGCTGTTACCCAGTGCTACAACACCGACTGACAAATTAATAGTGCAGGTCTCCTAACTACACAGAGCAGATAAAGTGATTGTAAGTGTTACATCCTTAGCTACATTAACTCAGCTTCCCAACAGGCGCTTGCCACAAGGCATCAACTTTGCCTTCAAATTTAAGTTTCACATTGGCAACTGAGTAGAGAAGTAAGCAAGATTTTATCAGAGTGCCAGTTACAGTATCTGCAGTACCTGGAGAATAAAGAAAGCAAGACAAACTCCCTGCCATTCAGTGAAGGGAGGCTGAGGGTGCAGAGTTACAGTGACATTTATAAACACAGTGATCTCAGAAGGGGAAGTCTGAAAAAACAGCTCTGGACCAGTCACATATAACCACAGAGATAACTGAAAGATGCTGAGCTTGATAACAGGCCCAGCGGCTGAAAGGAAAATTGAGGAACCAAATAGAAGCTTTTGGGTGACAGCCTGGTGGTTAGCTATGCAACAGCACCATTCCCAAAGGATTAACAGGAATGTATATCATGCGGGGCTCTGCATGTCGTAGTAAGATATTGATTATCTGCTAGCAGGAGGCACTGCATTTATTTTAACTCCGTTACTCTTCTGCAGTGAGAGAGAATAAACATGCTGCTCCCAAACTGTTCAGTGACAATGTAATCTGTTCCAGGCAATGATTTCACACCCAGCACTCAAAGCTTCAGACACAGCTGTATTCAAACAATAAAACTAAGGGAATATTACTGTAAAATGAATGAGTCATTTTGTGCCTAGGCCAAGAAAAACAGCAAAGTCCTGTTTGAATTCAGTAACTTCCAGTGCTAAAGGTCATTAAAGACTGGGGTGCTTCCTGAAAAAAAGGTACAGACCAGCAGCCTCCAACCAAGCCCAGGGTCCCTTTAAAACAGAAACTCTGTCCTGCAGTCAAGTTTATTCTCCACAACACTGTAACCCATTCAAATGGATGCTCAGCCCCAGCCTTTACGAAAAATATTCTAGGAAGCTTGTATTTTCAACTGACAGTCTAAAAACATGTCTCAGTGGGGAAGTAATGTTCTGTTCTAATTGCATTAAATAGTGCAAAAACATCTTCCTCTAATATTAGTGATCTGCTTTCTAAGGAAATAAGAGTTATGCAGACTTGTTCCGAAAGCTGCTACGTTCCAACAAGTTTTGTGAAAAAATTACAGATAGATGGAGAAGAGAAACCCACACCAGCTGCCGTTCCTGGAAAGTCTGCAGCCACTTGGCTCTCCTGTACCAAACGATCCAGACAACTCAGAGCCAAGCAGGGGGAGGACATGTGCTGCCTTCTGTCCCCCCAGAATTAAGAGCAAGCGAAGAGAGCTAAGTGCACAGAGGAAAAATCTACACTGCAAAGCAAAGAGGCTACCTATAAGCCTGGTCATCACAGCTACAGGAAAGGGATGTGGGATTATCGCAGAAGGAGAATGTGATGGAAAGCAAGGGAAGCAGGTTTCCTTGCTCACAGAACAACATTTCTGTATTGCAGCAATGGCTGGTGTCCCCCATCAAGCTTCTTCCCGCCAAGCACCATATATGTAGAGAATCTTTGCACCAAGCCTGCAGAACTTTGAACTGAGCAGAAAAATCAACCCATTATGCTTTCATAGGACTTCAAACTCCAATGAAAGATACAAAAATCTATCTATAACAACACATTTCCTAAAGCTAAAGATGTAAACATACAAAGAGATAATTTTCAGAAAGAAACATGACCTGCAACCATTTGCTAAGAAAACACAGACATGCTCCAAGACCTGGTCGTTAATCTAAGCAGATGGCTATAGTGACACAGGTTAGTAGTGACCTAAATAGTGCTTATAATGGAAATCTTAAGTGTTTTCAATATTGTCTTTTCTAAAGCACAGTTCTAAATCTAGACTTCCAAATTGGGTCAAACCTACCACAACATTTTTTTTCTGAAAATATACTGAAAAGGAACAAAGTCGTATTTAAGGAGAGGTATTTAAGTTAATATACTTTTCCATCCATCACTGTAAATAAGCACAGAAAAACTAGTTGAAATAGGTTACTGAGCCTTAAAAATTTTTAAAATTTCAAAAGTATTTTAACAAAGCTTTTTGTTATTTATTTTTTATTTAGTTTTATTTTAAAATATTATTTTATTTAGATTTCAATTTATTTTTATTTAATTTTAATTCTATTTTCTATTTAATTTTAATAAAGCTTCTTAAAGCTTTATTAAAACTTTAATAAACTTTACTGAATCTGTAGAAAGAATTCTATCACTCAGCTGTACATAGTTTCCCTAATTTCAGGCCATGGATTACAATAACAACGCTATAATTATAATGACTGAGGCACACATATTTCTGGCTCTGTATCCAACTTTGAAAAGACACTGGAATTGTGATCATATAAAAGATACTGGGCACGCAATGAACACCAGCCACAAACAAGTCTGTCCAACAAGCCAAACAGAGAAGGAACAGCAATTGCTAACCCACACACTAGTTACTGACCTGACCTCTCTGTACACACATACCTTGCGCCCATTTAAATGTTTAAGTGTTTTGAACATCAAACTTTTCATATGTCTACTGCAAGGCAGGCTTTCAATAACTATGAGCACAACTTGCCATCACTGTAACAAATTAACTTCATTCTAATAAACAAACACTGTCCCCCTGCCAACCCTTTAAATTCGACAATCTCTTGATTGTCCTGACAATCTCCTCTAAAACAGCTTGGTACGTAATGGGTATTTCTGGCCTGCACATGTTGATTTATATTTCCATTCGATTATGGGGGTAGAAAATTTCATAAGTTTTAAGAGCTGTAAGCTGAAAAAAAGATCCATAAATGAAAAAAAAAGGAAGATGGGCATGCAAAAGACCAGTTCTGCATACACTTCTAAATTACTCTCTCCTTGTCCAGCACAAGTTGAGCTTTGACAAACAACACATTGATTCCAGTACTGAATGCTCTCCTGCCATTGATCTGGACACTGTGGTCATTTCCTTCATCTCCTTTCCTGCTATTCCAAGGCAATTAAAACAATCACATAGGCAAGACAGAAAGTAACATCAACTCTAATGCCCAACAGCATATTACCTGCTGAATCACAGACAGGGCAATAAAATTTAAACAGTGGCACTGTTAAAACTGTGACATTTATCATGTTGTGCTATCTATCTTTAAACACAGTATTTGTTGAAGCTCCTAAAATTAGAAGGGAACACACTGCAAATACCATGGCAACTACTTGGCATGGTAAATCAAGGTCCTCAAGGCTCCCACATAGACTTACTGCTATTATGACTAGAGTTATCCAAATGGCACCTAAGCATACTCACTACTTACCAAGCACTAATGTTACCCTGGATTCAACTAAGCATAAAGCCAAGGGCTTACTCACTCAAAATAGCACCAAGAATTTTCTGACGTTAACGACTAGCTCAAAACTACTTTAAAAATAATTTTGTTTGTACTGTGCATTGCAAAGACAAAGTTGGGCTGATAGAAGCCTTATTTTAAAAAGCAAATTTCAGTTTGCAGAGAGAGCTCCCCCTGATCAGTTTAGGAAAAAACAGGGAAGAAAAAAAATTAATGTGAGAGAAGAGACAAGGGAAGAGCTTATGCACTAAAGGAAATAAAGATTTTTGAGGTTGAATTAAATAATCGGAATCCTCAGAAAACACTTGCTTGCTGGATTTCATGTCTCCATTTTGTTTTATAACATGGTCAATGATAAATTGAGGGTACTGTTTACTTATTCAATAAAAGCAGGATGGAATAATACATTCTTCAGCCTTCTGAGAGCAGGCACTATCCAAAGAATTGTGCCTCCAGCATTTGCTTTCAATTCAGACATGGATACACTGCTCATCTTGAAAGCAGATAATCCTTGAAGTTATTGTTACATTGATTTTCCAGAATTAAAAGGAGAGACCGGTAGTGTCACAGACAACTAACTACCTTTAACCTTTGTTGGCCAAACACCAAAGTAGGTCACGCTAATAGGTCATAGGAAGTTTGCTAAGTCTTTTATACAAACTTTACTCTTTTTTATTATAAATAATTTTGAAAGTATGTCTATTAGCCAGGAATAAAAGTTGAAAAGTTAAAGAGTTTCTTATCTCTTTAGCTTTCCGTAGAAGCATCAATACAAAAGTTTTCACAGTGCAAACAATTTATAGACACACAAGTGAGACAGGTGAAACGGTCAGGGGTGCATTATGTACACTGTTAAACACATCAACCCTCTAGAAGCACACACACAATGCTGAGTGGAAATAAAGCCATCGTACATCACAAGTGGTGTGGAAATGCACACTGACAGAGCAGACATAGCTGTCGAAGCACAGATTGTACAAACAGGCAAAATGGGGCTAAGAGTCCTTGTAACAGCACTTACAAGTAAAACTTCTCTTCCCAAACAGGGTTCAGATTCCCAAAAATCGTTTTTGTCCTCTTCTTTGTTTTACCCACTTGAACAGTTACATACGGATCGCTGGACCCGGTCTTGTCTTTGGCCTGCAGACCCTGAGCACAGAGCACTGGAAGGAAAAGAGAAGAGTTATCACCATAATGCAATAAGACAATGTGTCCACACACCACGTGAATCAGCGGCTCAGAATGGCCAGAGAAACGGGAATATCACTCATGAGAGCTTTTCTGATGAGCTCAGCTCATGGTGCAGTACAGTGCCTGGGGTAGGAGTATCTCCACCCATACACTGAGCAGAAAGAGACACAGGTCAGTGAAACCCTTCCTCTCTGTTCTCTCTTTCTTCACACCAACTATCTCCTGCCTTAGGCTCATAAGCAAGGCCAAGAGAACCCATGCCTTCCTCACTAACCTGTGATTGTGATCTTTGCTGACCATTTTGAGGTGCCATCAAGCACACTCTGCTTCACTGTCTTCATCTGCTGAGCATGTGTCAATTTGCTCTCACAGAACACATCTCTGATCAAGTCAAAGATCTCTGGCTTGTTCCGCTCACGGATTTTCATGCGATCCTTCATGGCCATGATGAAATTCTGTGTTCGGTCTTCAGCTCCATGCTTCGAGCTCTTCTCTGCTGCTCCTGTGCACCAGAAAGAACACAATGCTCATCAGAAACAGACAAACACAAAGTAATGTTTTGCAGGATCAAAGCCATGAGTTACCCTCCACGTGACGGCTCTTGCTGTTGACTTTTTACAGTCAGACCCCCACTTACCCTCATTTTAACATGTACACAAAGATAATCTGGACCACCTGGCGCTGGGAGGGGATAATGGAAGGGGAGTGCCCAGATTCCTCAATAACTTATGACCAGGTTGCTCTCTTGACAGCAAGCCTGAGTTTAATACCCTTGCGGCTGTGGAAGACTCAGAAATTAGGTTCTTGCTTTAACAGCAGACATCAGCATGCCCCTTCCTCTCACCACCTGGCTTTGAATAAATAAATCCCTGCTTAGGCAAGTGCTAAGAAGAGGACATAGGACGTCCATTACAAAGAGCATCTATGAGTTGTTTAAACGCTGCATCTCAGCACCATGGAAGAGTAGAAGTTCAGATGGGCCAACACGGTCAGCATTTCCTACTGATGTATGCCATACGACTCCCCATTCAGCTCAGTCACTGCACAATCTATGTCTCATTCTCCCACCTAGAACCACCCTGTTTGGATCAGGTATCAAGCTGGAGGCATCCAAAGTGTCTCTCTGGATCCCAGTCTATTTTATCAGTTTTCAAGGAGACAACTCAAGTAATCCAGTCTTAGAATCACACAGGCACAGTAACTATAACAAATACGTATAAGGTAGCAAATTCAGTAATTAAAAACTTGGGCCATCATAAGGACAGGGCACTAGCACAGTATCTAGCAGCTGAAAACACAAGAGCCAGGCATAGGGTCCATACTACACAGGTATTCAAAAGTGTCTGGAAAAAGAGAGGCCTCTAATCACTTGGATACCTCTTACAAAATTTAAAAGTTCATATAATTATGAGATAAGAATGCTCCCACAGTCAACTACTCCCTACTCAATTTTGACAGTCATGTTTGCTGTAAAAATTCAGTCACTGACTATCATGTCAGATGTGAGGCATGAGCTAATAAAAGCACTGACGTGAGCTAACAAGGCAGACGACGCCCAGTGTGAAATTAAAAGCAGGAAACCAAGATTGCACACAGTTTCTCTACATGCAGTCTGCAGAAATTCCAAGTTATAATCTAAAATCAGATTAAGTTAAACCAGTGCAAAAGTCCCGTGAACACATTCAATCATAGCGTTTCTGTTTAGTTTGACACGCTTTTGCTTGTTTTTTCTCTGGGATAGTTCAATTTAAGCTTTGTCCTAGAAAAAATTATATCTTCATCCAGGTGTTCACCAAATATTAGATTACCTAAAAAATATGTATTAAAGCAGGTACAAGTGTGTGCAAAGGGATCCATCAATCACAAAGATACATAAAACTGTTTTCCTCTGGAAGAAGTGGGCAACTATGATATCTGGGACACCTTTAATGTAGGGCATTACAGTTTTGCATACAAAACAGTTTCAGAAGGTAGTGACCAAATATGAATAAAGTTCTATGAACACACACACACCAAAAGGACCCCCAGCAGTACAACATAACAGGCAACCTTGTTAGCAGGCTCGACAGGGTGCCCAGTGACTAACGCTGCCTGAAGATATCAATTTCTAGGGCGTCCAATCTAAAACCTTTCACCGTTACTAAATTCACTTAAATAAAGAAACAAAACTCAATTATAACTTCCACCATTCATACCAAAAAGAATAAAACTACAGTTTGGAACAGACTGTTACTGATGAAGTTTCAGAAGTTCATTAAGGACACTGCATACCAAGACACACTATTAAAGACCTGGGTATAAAACAAGCCATAACTTCACATTACCTGATAATTACTTTTTCATTTTACTTGCTAGAGGCTTGATGTTCAATCTTTCATTTCATACAATAAAATGTATCAGCCTCAGAGTTTCCTATTGTTGGCATATGATGAAATGAAATCAAAACACTGGAATTAATTACACAGTCCCTGCTGTCTCTACTCAGCAGGGATGAAGAACAAGCGCTACCCAAAGTGATGTCTTGTATCATCCAGCTGTAGACTCAACATTTATTAAAGGAACATGAAACTGAAATGATACTGGGGCTATACTTTGAACTTCAGATAAGAACTGCTATTCAGCTTCAATGGAAATAGGTCTTCTGGGGATGAAGGTGGACTCTATGCAGCATATGCAGAGCTGCAGCAATTATTGGGAAATAGGGAAAGGATAAACCAAAGAATTTGCCTTTCCTAGCTGAAATCTGTAGTGATCTAAAGAAACCAACCCTGCCCTGGCTTTTCTGACTTTAAGGAAATTAAGAACCAAATTCAAACATTAAGAGATCATGTTGTGCATGAGCAGAGTGCTCTATTTCAGAAGCATGTTCTGAACAAATTACTAGCCAGGCAGCTTGCAAATATAAATGTTTCACTGTTCATCAATGAGATGGTACAAGAGTCACCACAGTTCCGGGGTGGTATTGTCTGCATCATTGCCTTAATACAAGCACAAGTACAAAACCACCAGAGTTTCCAAAACAACCACTGGGGGACTAATCACTTGTAATGTATGTGATATAAACCCAAACCATGTCACTATACTGGATGGCAGAAGGTGCTTTTCCTGCTGTTGGACTTCGATCATATTTATTCAGCTGCAAAAACAGAAGGCTTTAGCCAGTGGATAAGTTTTTCAAGTAGTCCTGTAAATGGCAATAGAAAGGCACAGCAGTATACAAGTACTGTGTACAGTATCATACAAATGGTACAGGGCTTTCCTTCTGTCTTCCTCTCTAGGAAGGAATTCTGAGCCAATTTATGACTGGAAACAGAAAGCAAATATGTCTATATTGGGAATTGTATTGATATAGCTATTAGTAAACTGCCAGTGCTGTTACCCTATGCTTTAACATGAAAAAGTCAAGAAAGCATCACTGGCAGGATAGAAGACAGTTGTTTAGTAGGCGGATAATGCTTAGAAATTATGCATTCCTGAAACTTAAAATAGATATTCAAGTTTCAAATAAAGGTATCCTTCCGCCTTCTGTGAAAATATTTTCCTACATAGGATTCTGGGAGCAAACAAGTGTTCATCACCATGGTGTCTAATCATCATTCAACTCAGAAGCAAAGATGATTATCACAAAAGCGGCTTAATCGGTCTCACTAACAGTTCACTCACTGAGCTGGTCTCTGGACTGCAGTCTCTGAATTTAGAGTGCGACACACACAAGCTTCTCATCCAAAAAGCAACAAACATACCTGACTTCTAGTCCTGAGTCAAAAAGCACTGAACAACTCCAGAGGTGAACCATGACCCCAGGAACCAAAACAATACCAAAAGCAGAGCATTCAGCAATGCAGCCCTAACAGCTCATGTGAAGTTCTCCAAGGTTTGTTGCTCCAGCACACCATAAAGAAGCACTAATAAAGACAACATATGGCTAATCACACTCACAACACAGACTTCATGTTCAACAGTAGTTTGAAGCTCGAGATCTCATTTCCTTATTTTCAAGATTCTGATATGCTAGGGCCATTTCTTTTCTTAGATTTAACTGTAGTCTACTGAGCACTAGATTAGCATCACTACAAAAAAACCCCAAGACACACTTGCACAAGTAGATTACTATGGCTTTTCAAATGTTAGCCCAGACCTGTAAAGGCCCTATTCACTAGGATCTTTCTAGCATAATGTCCTTCCCTTCTACCTCTTCATAATTCTGCCTACTTCTCTGCATCCATTTCTTGGTATGCTACACATCCATCCTCAGCTTTACTCTTCTTTTGATACTAACATTGCCCAACACATTGTATTTTAGTTAGTACTACACCAGTGCTCAGGGCAAGAGACAAAAGCTCTATTTTTTTCCAAAAGCTTCGCATGCTACAGGGATTTTAAAGAACACTCCTCCATCCATTTTCAGCCAAGTAAGAAAGGAAGTGAACTCGTTCAGCAGAAATTTCAAGTACTCCCAAAAATAGCAGGAGGCTAAAAGAGAGCATTTTCCCTTGAGCAAGTATTTATGAGCTTATGATAAAAAGGTAAGCACTCCAACATCATTACAATACCTTCTAAGTACCTACAATGGAGAAACATCTTTGTAGAGAAACAACCCGGTGCCAACGGAGCCATAAACCAGATGTCTGCAGTACACATGCCACAACTGACTCCAGTTTACTGCACCTCAGACATTGACAATTCATGGAACAGCCCTGTTGAACCAGTCAGCAAATGGATTTTGTTTCAAATTGCAACAAAGCATTGCCGAATTTGAGTATTTCGTCACTGCAGTCCCACACGTTTGTTGACTGTATCAGATGCTCAGTTTCCCAAAAATATAGAGAGTAAGAAAAATCTCTAGCAGAAATAACCAAAACTAATTCTAACAGACTTGGGGTAAGAGATTCTTTTATTTTCTGCAGAAAGGATAGATAGAAGGATAAACAGCACATTCTGATTCTAAGGAACAAAATCCCAGGTGTCTACCCAAAACTTCAAGGCATAGACAATGGAACTATATTTGTGACCAGTCTGAAAATTCATTTTACTCCAATGCAATGTTTTCTGGAAGACTTACACAGACTGAAATGAAGATATATCCTGAGGCATCAAGGTATAATCAATAGAATTGTATTTTTTACCAGCCTGAAAATTCATTTTACTTCAATGTAACATTTTCTGGAAACCTTAAATAGACCTAAGTGAAGATATGTCCTGAGAATGTTTGTCTAGAGTTTTTTATAGCAACAATAAAGCTTCTGTGAGGAAAGAAACCCCTTCTGAGTTCACTATACAAGAAAGTTCAGTCTTCAGTTTATTGGATCTCTAAACTGTTGCTCATCCCCTGGAAACCCCGTTTCTCATTCTTCAAGTGCAGCCTACATACTTCAAACATGTATAAAAATTAATTTAATTTTCCCATTTTCTTCTAGCTGGTGGGTTCTAGTTAAAAGGTCTTTATCATGAACATGTCAAAGCAAAGAATGCAGTTGCATGGAAAACTCTTTTAACAGTTTAGGTACATTCGTTTTCCCACCCCAGCAGCACATTCACAAATTGCCCTCACAATTTTCTTAATCTCCCAGCATTATCTCTCCTCTGCCTCCTCTGTCTTTGAAATACACAATTGCCATCTTCAGTTTCCTTTACATCTCTACCCCAGATAATTATATCCACCACACTCATACTGGGTACCCTCAGAGACCTCAGCTCACAGTCTCTGTATCTTCCCTGTTCTGATGCTGGGCAGCTTTCAAATAACTCAGTAAGTAAAGTTTTTGCTTGGTTGGGTTTTACCTTTCTACATGCTTCACCAGTTTTGAGCTCAGTGCACTCTTAGTTGTTTCCTCTGTTTCTTTAACCTTGCATGGTGAAGTATCTTGTATTTACATTTTGAAAGGAAATGTGCAAAGCAAACATCTGCAATCCCGTGAATAAAATGACAAGTTCCTATCTAATGCTTTACCATATATGAAAAGTAGAATATTTTCCAGTTGTTGCTTCTATTCCACAGAAAAATGCACACCATTGCCATCATCACATCCCACAGACCACTGCATAAGGTTAATTCCAAACAGAGATCAGAAAACCTGCCCCCTTGGTTATTCTTCAGAGGCTGTTCCAGAGACTCCCTGTTCTCATAACTGAAGTTGTCTTCTACTCCCACCTTTAATTTTCTTACAGCAAATTTATTACATTTTCTTTTCTAAACAGTAAGCTTAAACAGACCATGTTCCTCCCTGCTGCTTATCTCCCGCTTGCTTAACATAGTTCAGGCATAAACAGGTTCAAACAAGGATAAAACCAATTCACAGAGCCTTCACTGACAGCTATTAAACATAGCATCTACTGATCAGAAAGTCTTTAAACCACAGATAGCTGCAAGAGAAAAGCAGAGTCATAGGAGCTCTACACACGTGTCTTACACCTCCGCCTTGGGCACCACAACATCCCTTCGGAAACATTCTATTGGGACAGACCTAGTATGGCTACTTTTACTTTTTTGAAACAGCATCGTTACTGTCCTTCTTCTGTCCCACACTGCCAAGCCTCTCTTTTAAAAGATCAATAAACTCATACCATCCTCTCTCAAGATATTCTCATATTTTCCCCATTACCACTGAACTCTCTCCAGTACCCATACCAGTCTGAAGTCTCCCTTCTTGAATATGGATAGGCACAACTGTCCTCTGAAGTTTCCTCTTAGTCATAAGTTATTTCTTAAATTTTGTCTTTCTTCTCTTGTTTTCAACTTCATGACCTCTGTTCTGCACAATAGCTTTGTAACTGTTTCCTCACTTCTGCTGGTGCAAGCCTGATTTTCCTCTGCTGTCCACAGCATTTTCCCCATACTAAGATATCACAACTCCATTGCAACATGGTAACATCCTGGACATGCATCTGAATCAAGCCTGGATGTGCATATCAGCAGCTTTTTATGTCAAATACTGAAAATCACCAGTCAGTAGAGGATTCTGGTGAACTCCAGAAACAAAGTTCTCCTGACTCTAACTGACCCTCTGCATTAGGTTTTGAAAGAAAACTGAGTTATGGCTTAGCTACATTCTCCTGAACCAACGGCAACACGGCAGTTCTTTGCTTAGTCACAAAATGGTTGCAACAAAGCCAAGGTGTGAATGATGCAATTGCTCGAATGCTAGGAGCTGTAAAGGTCACCTTGAAACCCTCAAAGACAAATCTAGAAAAGCTAAGCAACTGAGGAGGAACAGAGATGTTTCAGCAGTATCAGCTGTGTCCAATAAATAAGCCATTGCAAACAGCCCCAGTCCTAACTATGACTTATCTAGAACTCTTGTGCACATCAAAAATACAAGCATAAACAATGTCCATTTAGGATCTCAAGATAAGCTGTAAGAAAAACAAGTGACCTATGATTCACTGGCATCCCTTGCTGGGTCATCCAGTCTGGCTTTCACAAACAACTAGAGCCCGACTCTTTATATTCTTGCAATTGCTGACGTGGATTTGTAATAAATCTGTTTATACTTCACAAACTTTCCTGATTCCTTAGATTTAGTCTGTCAAGCTGGAACATCAAGAAAATCAAGAACGAACAGAGACAGCCCCACCTTCCCACTCAAGATTTAACACATTTGTCAGAAATTTCTATTCCATTTAAACTAAGACAATTTTCTCCCAAGCAGAAACATAAATTTGAGAACAAATCAAGAAACTGTTTTAGAAACAAATAAAAATAACGTGACCAAGCCAGATACCCAAATTAATACTTTTTCTCTCTCTTCCCCTCCCTTACTTAAATTCCTTTTAAACTTCTCCACTGTTTGTGTAAGGTCTCATTTATTCTGCAAAGTCACAGGTCTTTGAAGACCTCTTCTTTGAGGAGAGGGCTTACTTTTTGAACACTGCAGGGAAACAAGCAAAATAAACAGAAATACTAGCAGTAAGATGAAATACTGTCTATACACTCAAACAACACCTTCCTATTTGACCCAGCATCTGTGCTGGCTCAGCCCCAGGTCTCCAAAACATTTCAGTCATGACTCTACTGTCAAAAAGACAAAATGTCTTGCTATTCTGCACTTGGTACAGAGAATCCAAACTTAGTCCATGGCCTCTATCCCCTAAGCAGGAACCCAGTGCTGCTCTGAAGAGCTTAAAACCATAAAACAGGCTGACGTTTAAAACAAATAACCTGACTGGGCAGGAGGGACAGAAAAAAAGTCAGAATATCCAGCCTAGTACCCTATTCACCTAGTCCACTGCCTCTCTTCCATGCAGGATATGTTAGTTAATACACACCACCTGAGCTGACACTGGGACAGATTAAACACTACATGGATTAAAAACAAATAGATGTGAAAGAGTCAAGAATTAAACCTTCTTTTAAAGCACATCAAGAGTAATGTTACAAAGTTCTTGTTCTGCATCAGTGGAGTTGTCGGTGTCCACAGGGCGATGGGGACAGGTTTAGCCCAATGGCACCCTCTCAGAAAATAGACGGTCATTTTAATAAACACGGCTTCACTGATCGCTGAGGTATCACCTATACGTTTAGGAAAGCTCTGGTAACACTTTGGGAACAGCTGCACTCCACTGGCCACTACTCACTCTGTAAGCAGTCAGCGTTGAGCAAGTCTTGGCACTTCTCATGGCACTTGACTCCACATTCAGCGCAGCGCATTCCCTGCCGTGCAATACCCCATAGCAGCCCCTCACATTCGTAGCAGTAGGTAGGAGTTGTGGCTGTCCACACTTCAAAGTTGTGTGGGGTTGTACAAGAGATGGGGTAAATTAAGGCTTGCAAGGTCTTCTTATAGACATGAGATTTCTGAAAGGCAAGAGCACATATAAACCAACATCCAGGTAGGTGACAGAACCTATTTTTGCTGGTTAACACATTAATTTTAAGGGAAAGGCATGAGCAGTGCAATAAATCTACATATTTGAGGTAGCCAAATTTATCAAACTTTTACAAGCAGAAGCAGAGGACACCCTTCCAAAAATGTTTCTCCAGGCATTTAAAAAAGTGGAGGAGAAGCAAGAAAAGAATTAGAGTTTGTGGATGAGGGATATCTTGCATTAAGCAAGTGTCACACACTGTCCCCCACGGCAGATAGCACAGAAGGAAATGGTATGATTACATTTTTCAGGATCATATTGACACATTAAATGTCTTTTTTACATGATTGGTTTCTTTAAACAAATGATACAAGAAGCTTTGCATCTATATTTTTAGACATCTGTGAAACCAGCTCTGCATCCCGGAGAGCCAAATCCCCTTAATTTGCTTCGTAAAAGTTAACAGGAGCCAAGCAACCCTCCCACTTACCAGCTCTTCATCTTTGAGAGATGTTCTAGTGGCCATTGCTGAGGTAATTCCGGCTTTCCGGGACTGAACCAGTGACTAAGAAGGAAGAAAGTTTGTTATTCACAGCTACTATTCAGAAATGCACTGTCACTACATGCCCAAAGACATGACCAAGGGGCCTCTGTCATCCCAGACACCAAACCAGCAGTCTATTACATTCAAGTTGGTTTTTTAAATGATAGCTCACATGTCAGAAGAGTCACATGAATCATCTGAAAGGCCTCCAACTTGTTCATCTGGCCACAAGCAGTCTCACTTCAGTAAATTTTTATTTGTTTCTCTGCTAAGAGCTATCAATGAAAACCAGGTTGACATTTCCACATCTGTGTTCTGGTAGCAATGGTAACTCTGCTATTGCCCAAGGTCCCTATGTGGGACTCACTTTTCTACATCTAACTTCATTCATATCCAAAAGGAGATGATTTAATCAGTTTTACAACATACACAACACACCCAAATGAGACAGTGAAAGGATTACAAATAAACAGGATAAAAAAAGAACAAAGTGGCTTGGGAGCACAGGTTTGAATGTGCTGGTGTATCCCATTCATTGGCCATCACTGTATACAATGAACAGCATTTTCGCCTCAAGACTGCCTCTTTTGCATCATGTCAACACTAAGTTCAGCAGTTTTGGACAACACAGGGCAGTGCCTTTGCAGCACTTCTTACTGGCATACAAAGCATTTCTTCAGCAAGCCACTCCAGTTAGATGAAGGCAGAGAAGGAAATTAAAGCTAGGAACATCTGCTTTGAAATCATCAAATCCTATCAGAAGCCTTCATTTATGCTCTACTTTATGGTGTTTGAAGACAGACTGAAAAAGTTCATTCTGTCTGTGATAGAGCAGGACAGAGCGCTGGATACACATGCAATGCAATACTGCAAGTTCAAAATAAAAAGCAAAACGGTGGGGGGAAAATAAGGTAAAATCATTTTTGTCTCTGGTGAAGACTTAGTGAATAGTGTTTACCTCCCACTTACCATGGCCTGTGGAGAGAGAGAATGAAAGCATACAAAGGAAGAACACAAGTTAATGCAATTATTGCGAAGATTTAAGACACAAGCAGTTAGTAAGACACATATTAAGCTTCCCATGCATAAGCTGGCAGAGAGAATTGTGTGCATCTTTTCACAAGAATTACAGGATATGTAAACCTTAGTCTTTCAGCTGTTACAGCATTTTTCCTCAAGTACAACATCGCTAAGTGTACTGAACACAGCCAACAGAAAACCATTAGTCCTGGACAAGCCTTATTTCACCATATCACACAAGCATATGAAACTTGTCCTCATTACTCGCTTGGTTCTTGTGCTTCCTCAGTGCAGAAGCCTACTGGCAATATTGCAAATTACTTTAAAAATCCAAGTACATATGCTCGTTTATCCACCCTCTGAAATTCCAACCTTCTGGTAAGTCGCCAAACCTCACATGGACATTGCAACTTTCCCCAAAATATGTGATTTTTATGAAAATATTTAAAAATAATACAGGCCTAAAAACAAATATTCTGTGTAGAAAAAAAAAAGGAAAAAGAACATGAAAAATATCTTAATTCTGCCAAATAAATGGAACAGTCTACAAAACCATAACTCATTCTCACTGAGATTTTTCCAAGCACAACTCCTATCCTCTCACTGTAACATTTAATTCAACTAAACAGGAAACCTTCAACTTTTTGAAGTGACAATGAATGCTACCAAATGTCAAAAAGCAAAGCCACTTGCACCAACAACTGTGTGGCCGAAGAAAAATCTCTTACCAGATCACTGACAAGTGGAATTGGCTTTTTTTTGCGTAAATCGGGCATGCTATCAATGCCATAGAGACCACCTGCAGGCCTGGAAATTCAGGAAGAAAAAAAAAAAAAAGAAGATTAAAAATCTCACCAGTAGTGATAGATAGTAAACAGATGAACAAAAAGCTTCCTTAAAACATCAGTCTCCTTGCTAATGTCACAGTCAATGAGAAAAGGAAGAATCAGTTCACGGCAAATGCTACTTAATAATAAACCAAAGCTGTTAACACACTACAAAAAGGTTATTTTCTCATTGTCAGAGCTGAGGGTCTGAGCTAGCTCAGAGTAGGCAGGGCACGTGCTTGCAAAGTACCCAGTGCTTCGGAGTCACTGCTGCCGGCATGGTGGGTGAAGGCAGCCTTACCCCTGCCACTTCTGTGGGGCACCGTTTTGGCAAAAATACTTACCTCGCAGCCCAACCAGAGCTCCATGGCTGTGAGTCACACACAGCTTAGTCTGTGGTAACTAAGCTTTCAGAAGTATCTTTTGTTTCTTACAGAGAGCTCAGTTTATAGTTTACTGTTGGCACTGAGCATCAAGGCAGGAAAGACTTTGGAAACTTGAAAACATTCTGTCTCCAGTTTTTATCCATCCTCTTCCTTTCCATTTAATTAATTTAGGGTTGGGGTGGGGGGGATGCTTTACGGGAGGAAGCAAAATCAGCCAGAAGACTATACTTAAGAAAAAGTGAAGTTAATGCTAAAAACCATTAAGTGTTTATCTTCTTCACACGCAACAATCCAGACATTCCTGCCTGGTGTCAGTGGTTGGGAGAGAGCATGTCAAAGTGGATCAACCCAGGGACGGGACACTGCTCTCATCCTCTGATTCTAGGCTAGAACATACTTAATCCTGGCCCTCAAGGTCCATGTAATTATTAGAGGAAATCCTCACATTTGAGGAGAAAGGAAATTATTTCTATTTGGTGCTCAGTGTTTCAAACCATACAGCCCTCTACGCATAAGAGCTGCCACTTGCTGGTGGAGGTGGCAATGGAGCAGAAGGGACATTACCCCAGCAAAACTTGGAATCTGCAGAAATAAAATGTGACAAGCTCCTTCCTTCCTGATGAGACCAGCCAGAATAGTTTGTATCTGCATCTTGCCATGCACTGGTAACACCACATGGATGTATGCCTATGCTTGAAGAAGGTCTGTTAATTCAGCTTAAAGGACCCAAGTAAATAATCTGTGTTCACCTGTAAGGCCTTAACATAATACTTTTTGCTGAGGATGGGAACTGAGCACACATTTCTCTGCTGTTGCGCCTACAGTGTTTGCCCCAAACTGAAGAACAGACGTGCGATGTGACTCCTTCCCTGCCATGAACATCAAGCTGCCCCTCTTTCACAGCCCCTCTCAGTGTCTCACTACACTTCCCCATCTCTACGCTGTCCTCATGCCTTGGTAACACAAAGAATACAGTTCTCCAGGCCGCCTTCTTGGCTACAGAGGCTGTAAAGGAACCTTCTACCTCTTGTTCCTTAGCCATTCATTTCCACCCCATAGCATGCTGACTGACACATTTTTGCATTTGCACGATAAACTGCCTGGCACTCTTAACCAGTGTATTTTGCTGTTTTGGTCCACCACAGTCATCTGAAACACTTCAGGACACTGCAACTACAGAAAGAGGAGTGTGGATCAAGCTGTTCTTACTGCAACAGAAGACACAGGTGGAGCTACCCTTTAAAACAATCTAGGAAACCAAATTGCCACTACAAATTTGCACATGCCTTGAAAACTAGGAGGCTGGTAAAGTGCAAGGCAACCTCCACCCCTCAGCAAGCAGGATCTATTCAAATCCCCTTTAAATACAGCCAAAAGTTTAAAAAAAAAAAAAATTCCAGGAATCAGCAAGCAACAACCAAACCTATGATATAACAACCCACACTCTAGGGCAGATGAGGATGTCACAGCACAGCCTAGCAAAAGGCTGTGTCAAACAGTGAAACAGCCTTTTATATACAGAAACATGCCACAGCACTATGATGCTAAAATTGACTTTTTTGACAGGGCGTAGGAGGGTGACATGTCCGAGCCACAGCTGAGTTGACAGCTGCTGCTGGCTGAACATGGCTGGTGGGAAGGTGAGCAGCCACGTGTAACTGCGTGAGCTGCACCAGCTCTGCATGCACAGTCACATTTGCACTGCAGCACCGTGCACAGCTCTCTCTGCTCTGCCACGATGAACACAAACCACCCGAAGTCAGCTGCGACTAGACCTCACAGCTGGGAACAGAAGACAAACTCAGATATGAGAAAGGTGGAGATTTACAGCAGTTAATTAAAACGACTGGAATCTTTGGACAAGAATGAGAATAGTTCTCCAATGCTGGGAACTCTTACAGTGAGGCTACATGCCGTTTTTCCGAGAGGCTATCCTCATTTCCAACAGAGAAATCCAGATTGCCCAAGTTACACTGCAATAATCCCTTCTGGCTTATTACAGAAAAATCTGACCCACATTAAGTAATAAGAAGCATCTGTGTGAAGCATCTAGATTGTCAGAACTAAGAACAGTCTTGCTGGGATTGAACATGGAATTTTCTCTTCTGCCCTAAACATTAGGGCAAAACAAACCACTTCCAACACCAGTAATACTGGTTTTGGGCAAAACAGGTGTCTTAGAAGACTACCTAGATGATGCCAAGAATTCCAGCATTATTTAAATCACAGTATAGCTTATTATAAGTTTTGGGTCAAAGATTTGTGTCAAATCAGTTGCATTATGAAAGCATATGCACAACAGAAATGGAAAGTCCAAAAGCTCAAAAGATGCAACAATATAGTCACAAGTAAAAATCCAGAGTTAATGTTCCTCCTAAAAGTCAATGGCACAGCTGGGAATTCACACTTTTTTTCTATGTGATTTCCAATGCTTTTTTTTTTTTTTTCAAATTCAGTTGAAAGGGAACTGATACACTGATATTTCCTTGGAAAGAAGGACATGAAAATTAGATGTTTCATAAATTCAAGATGAGCCTAAACAAGTTATGGTGCTTGAGAAACATGTCTAGTTACAACCTAGTTTGTTGCAAAATATTTATGATAGACTAAGGTTTATGAAAGAACCTGTTGCAAGCCAGAGTGACAGAGAACAAGACTATTTGAAAGGTGCTTGCATTTGCCTCTAAAGAGAGGTATCCTAGTATTTAGATAGTTATACACTCAGATGACCTGCTTTTAGCTTGTTAGTATTTTTTTTAAAAAAGTTTTCTGCAACAATTATTATTTTTCAATTTTCTTCAGTTTGTTGTGCTTTCAACTACCTCAGTCTTTATTCAAGCACAATCTCTACTTCACTTAACAAAATTACAGTGTTTGCACAGACAGAAGTACTGACAGTACCTGAAATAAGAACGCTGTAGCTTTAGAGGTAATAGGGCAATGCTCCTCTGCAATGAATGTAGTATTTATAGCATCATTATGGAGTGTTGGATTGAGGAATGAACAGCATTTCTGTATGAGAAGATGATTTGCACTAATAAATAATCTAGATATGAGATATTACACCCGGAAATTGACCCATAATACCAGTTGTACTTTTTTTTTTTTTTTTCAAAGCTCTCTCTCCAAAGCCAGTGATTACAGACAGGAAGCTACTTTTAGAATTATGCTAAAAGTGTAAATAGCTTGAAGCAAGTATTCGTCTTCCTATACAAGTTTTATAACACAGACGTTTACATTAAATCTTGAAAATTTAAGCAAGCAAAGATGGTTTGTAATGACAAAAGATGATTATGTCCTTCAAAGGACACCACTTCTCTAATCTTCATATGAAAGAAGAACTCCAAACGTAAGTGCTTTAATATACTTTGTGGCTAATAAACCACAATATGGGTGATGGTGGAAGTAAAAGTTCACCACCCACAACCACCTTTTCTGGAAATCTCTTGCATGTGGGGATACAGTGAATAAGCTAAACTTTTTTTCAAAACTGTATTAGCCAGTTTGTTTTGTTATAGCTAAAAATATAACTAAAAAAAAAAATCAACTAGAGCAAACATTGCCTTGAATTGACAAAACACATTTTTAAATATTTCAGGACTGTAAGTGTGTTCAACTTTCAGGCTGGGAAATAATTTTGTGTGTGAACCAATAAACTCGGTACACTGCCTCCTTGTTAAAGCAGGAGAAGGTGCTGTTTATAGTTAGAATAAATCACTGTCTTCTGCTCCTGCTAATTGCCAGTTCTCCAGCAGCCTGCTCAGTGAAATCCCGGGCTCCTTAGGAAAACGCGGGGTTGCTAGGCAGCTCCAGGCATCTGCAGGTGTAGAGGATGCTTTGCGGGAATATCAGCATTGCAGAGCAATGGCTCCAAAAGCAGAAAACTGTATAATGAAGCCTCCAATTTAACTTGGCGTTTTATTAGGGAAGTTTCCTTCAGTACTACCAGAATCAACTTATGCGTGTAGCATGCTAACCTCTTGCTGAGATTTCAAGCCAAATCTGCTGCTACATCAGCTCTTAATGAGTATACCACCACCTAAAGCATATTGCCCTAATCACACAGAAGGCACATAATGCAGCAGCTTGTAAAATGTGTCATTGTCTTCTTTTTTCCAGAGAGGATTCTAGGGAAGCTACCATGCTGGCACCCATTACGCACAGCATCGTGCTGAAATCACACACAATCAGAATTTGCCTGCTTCATTTACTGAGAGTAGCATGTGTCACTCTCACCTGTGCAAAAGAGGCATGATGATCACTGCTTTAAAAATTACACACTGCAATGATTTCCAGAGTTACTGCACTTTTGACTGCTACAACGACCACAGAAATCACTGCAAAGACAGATGACTTTCCCAAATCTACTTTTTTCTTCTAAAAGCAAAAGACAGCAATCTTTCTGAGC